ACTGCAAAGGAGGACCTCGGTCTGGCGCAAACACGGTCTCGGTTTTAAACTTAGCTCGGGTCTCATTATATCAGCTGAATCATAACATTCTCACTCAGACAAGTGCCTGAGTGCGCTGCTTCTACCTGCCTGTGTCAATATAAAAAGGGAAGTTTACTGCATCCTGTAAATTCATACCGCTTTTTTAATTTAAGAGGTTCAAAGTGCTTTACTAATTTCAAATATTGCTCCCTTTTTGGAGGCAGTTTAGTGGACATTTGTTTACGCCTCCTAAAAGTTTTTATACCACTTTCCCATCTTGAGGCTACAATACCCCAGTTTTGCTTGGGGAACTTACCCACCCAACACACTCAGCTCATACTGTCCTCATGAAGAGGACTCCATCTCAGGAGGGAAGCATGTGATCTAGGATTGTCCAATCAGCACATTCACCCGCCCCCTGTCCACAGTGATTGGCCCGGGTGTGAGCACAGGGCCCGTGTCTGGCCAGGGAGGGCCAACGAGACAAGTGTAGGAAGTACCATTTCTCTTCCCTCCATTCGGTATGAGGCTCAGAAGAAGGCACTGAGGGCTTACAGCCTCGACCTGCTGACCCCAAGGGAGATGCTGTCTGAGAAAGCAGCAGCCTACTGAGAACACAGCTAAAACACCGAGAGTGGGAGGGAAACAAGCGCCCGTGACATGTGAGCTCCTGCATCACTGTGTGTCTGAAACCAGCCCTTTCCCTGCACTTTTCAGTTACACGAGTTGAGACTCCCTTTTCAGCTTAACCCAGTTTACCATCACTTGCAGCCAAAGCAATCCTACTTGGTTCAGGCAGCAGGTGGACATGGGGTATGATTTTATACGTTTCTAAGATGAAGAAATGGGAGCATAAAGAAAAAATGTCCAGTCAGTAATGAAGCTGTATAAACGAAACACAGACGGGTGAGCAGATCCAAAATATTCCAGAACCCAACGCACCCTGTAGATACAAAAGTTTTAACAAGATTCAAAAATCAGAAGCCAGAGTCGCAAGCCAGAACACCTGTGTCTTTTCCTTTTCACGTATTTCTGATTCTCCAGTTGTTTCGGTGCTAAAGCAAGCAAAATCTCTGGGGAGACAAACAGAAGCTTCAGGAGAGATGTAGGGAATTCAAGTGGCAAGAGGGGAGTGATTTGGGGTCAGTGAAATGATCAATTCTAAACCCAGGGAAGTTGGTGGGAGACTGAAGTAAAATTTGAGAAGCCCAGATATGTAAGATCGTCTTGCACTTGGGAAGCCTGGTTCCGTGTGCAGGGCCGAGCCAGTGTGAGGAAAATCAAATCCTCGGGGCTTTTGAAGATGCAGTTTTTCATCTCGGAATCCATATTCCTAGCACCCCACCTACTGCTCTCTGCCGTGCCGGAGCATGTTATCTGTCAGGGTCCCCCCAATTAGCACTTTGAATGCAATCACAACATTGGAGAGCATGCCCTCATCTGCCAGGGGCGGGCTGGTTTCTGCAATTAAGCTGAAGTTCAGGTTTTGGCTAATAACAGGAGGGGAATGTGACAGTGAACGGAATGCTCACTCATTAACTCATGCTAATGGGCATGTAACCACCCAGCCACCAGCCCGCCAGCGTGAGAGCCAGGCGCTCGGTGTCACTCTGATCTCAGAGCATTCGCAGGTCTGTTTCAAAACATGACTGAGGTCTGGCGGTGATCTAATCGGGAGCGGTTTGAAGGGAAGAGAAAAGGATGATCTTGTTTTAAGTGCCAGTCTTAGTCTCAATATTTTATGAAATAGTCATTAATTTTCAATACAAAGCTGATGGTGCTATTATGAGGCCCACATGTTTATGCAGGAAACGTTGCCCGGATATCCCTGAGAGTTCAGTGAACGCAGGGGAAAACCATTATCTCTTATTTATGTAAGGCAAATGGTAATTACCACACCAGTCCAAGTTGTCTGAGAAGACAGGTCACTGGAAAGAAGAGGGCGGACTGAGCATGACACTGGGACAAAGAAAGTGCAGGGAATGAAGCCATTGTGTTCCCTGAAGAAACTCTAGAATCCCTTCCTCACTCATTCCTTGAGCACAGGTGTATGGAGTGTGCCCCTACTACGCGCCAGCCACTCCCACAGGCGTGTCCAGTAGTCCAGAAAGCAGGAGAACGCAGCGCAGGGGCAGAGTCCCTGCGTAGCCTGTGTGAGGCCCTGGGTTCAGTTCCCAGCACCTCCACCTGAAAAAGGAAAATGCCCATCCGTCCGTGGGGGGAAACACACGAAGACGGCGCATGGGTAAGACCGTTGTTGCCACGACTACAGGATGAACAGCTTAAAACACATTCTCTAAACACAGCGCGTCATCTGTCCCGAACGACAGTGTCTGTGAAAACCCATGGAGCGGTGTGAAGGGCCTGGCAGGTCTGCAGCGTGATGGGGGTCATCTGTCACGGGGGTCACGGGCTGGGGCTCCATTGCAGCCGCTGCAGATGTGCCCCTAAATGGATGCTTCCATTTTAACTATTAATAAGATGCAGACTAGTCCCACTTCCCTCTAGAGCACCATCTATTCAAAATTAATTTATTAAAAATGCATCCTAGTCATTAGTGCTAAGCAGATTTATGAAAAGCAGATCATTTAGGGTACATAAACGCGTGGGCCCTGGAGTTTCTAGCTGTGCCACATTTTCTATCCTTTATGCAGAATCCTGGCCCTGTGTGTTGATATCTGTCGACCACCACTTTGGAGGTTATTTATTTCTGCTGGTCCATTTCTTATGGTGACGCAGCTTTCCAGCATCTTCTGACAGGTGGTAGCTGACGCCAATCTGTATTAACTTCAGTTTATGCTGAAAATATCCCACTGAGTGAAGGCAATGTTCGGATTATGGTCTGGGTGTGTGTTGCCTGCAAGGGATAGTCTTAAATCTTCTCTTCCTTTTGAAATGAGGAGCATTTTGGCTCTTAATTTTCTGACTTGCACTTTTACTATTTTCTTTGCCTTTTTTTAAACTGTCAGCTGATTTAGTGACGGCTGGTAACATCGGTGACAAAATACATATTTTAAAGAAAGACCTTTAATAAGAACTCAGGTAAAATCTTACGTAGGTTTTCTCCGTTAGCCATTTTATCAGTGGGGGTCTGGATTGTGCTGGTAGAATAGAGAAGAAAAAACCTTTTTATTTTAAAGCCATAATCATAAAAAGAGTTAAGTTAAGGGGGCTAGCCCTTCAGGAAAATTGCACTTTCCTTGACATTGTATAATTTCAGTATTAAGAAGCATTTTAATACTTAAGATACTTAAGAAGTATCTTTAGTACTCAGAAGTATTAAGACACATGTAAGCCAGTTTCTAATTTTCAAAAGAAAATTAGGTTCATCTATTCGTCACTGAATTTCCGGGCTGAAAAGAGGTCACAGAAAGCACTTGGCCTGTCTGACAGCTGAGCATCCTGAGGACTAAGGAGTGAAACACGTGGCTCAGGGTCCCATAGCTGCAGTGGTACGTCCTGTGCACACACCCAGATCTTTCCAGTATATCAGCCTCCTAGCTCCCTGCTTACCATTCTTCGTGAGTCTAAACTTTCTATTGCCTTATCTTATTGCTTATCAATGGAGAAGAGAGAAATGCCGAGTTTTAGAGTTGGAAAGACTTATATACTGACAGACATCACGTAAGTATTTAGCCAGCCCCTGCTCTGCATCAGGCATTACACTGGATGCTGTGGAAGCTAACGTCAGTCATTCCCTGCTTTAAGTTTTCATAATTTGGGGAGTGTGTGTACGTGCGTGCATGTGTGTGTGTGTGTGTGTGTGTGTGTGTGTGTGTGCTAGTGTTGATGCCGGGGTGGGTGTAGGGGTCGGGAGGGACAGTTACCAGAGAAAAAAAGCAATCTTGTCATTTGCACTGTGTTATAAGGAATATGATACCAAGTCTGTCCGGGGGTAGGAGGGAGCCCGGGAGAGTAAGCACTCCGCCTGTGGTCTGCAACCCAGGCTTCAAAACCAGAGAGTCTTATTTTTAAAAAGCACAGCTTCCAGAGCACACCCCAGGGCCACTGAATTGGAATTTCCAGACCTGGAGACCCAAAGTTGCATTTTTAAAGTGCTTTCTACCTTGTTGTGCTGATCAGCCCAGTTTGCAGAGCATTGTTCTATTCTACCCAGGGGGACGGGGGCTGGTCAGGATTGACTTAGGAGAGCAGCATCTCTGGCACTAAAATTTCCCAGCTGGAGAAGGACTTTCCAGGCAGTCAGGGAGGGTGTAGCTCAGTCCAGAGTTCTTCGGACGGCCATTCTCTCCACCAGGCCATCTCTGACTTCCCAGATGGAACAAAAGCTGACAGGTCACTGTACCCACCACCGAGGTACTCAAGCTGCCCATTCCTTTGGGGAACACAGCAGTAGCAAACTGCAGCCTTTTGGAGCAGAGCTCCTGAGACCAAGGTGCGGGGGTGGGCAGTAGCTCCCTAAAATACTGGAGATCTCACTGGAATTAGAAACAGATCTCCCTGGAACCCACCCCAATTCCAATACAGTTGTTTGCATTCCATTGCTCATTCATGAGAAAATAAAGGACAAGAAATGAGTTTTCCCTAAACTTACTTAGTTTTTGAAACTCTGAGTAGGAGGATCTCTGCTACTTAGAGTATGCAAAGTAATACTTAATAACATTTTAAAGTATCCTTAATTGGAGAAATAAAAAGTTGTCAACCACATGTCAGTCCTTGAAATTTACAAAAGGTTTTACTGGTCTCTGAAACCCGGAAGTCTGGGAACAGTCACTCTATGTCTTCTAAATAGAAGCCTTTTTTTTTTTAACTCCGCTCTTTCATACACTCTTACATATATTCAATTCACACCACAGATAACCCTGAACCTTTTTAATTTGCTCCTTTTGGGGGGGGGTGCTAGCTTAACAAATTGTTACTCCTGTTCAGCTTATTTCATTCACTATATTGTCCTTCCTGAAATCAACCTGAATGCAGGCATATTTAAAATAACTTATTTAAACTTGCGTTAGAAACATCACCTAACCCCTAAAATCACTAAACAGAATTTTAAAGCGACTACAATTTTTTCCCACTCCTGGAGGGAGAAGGCTGTTATTCCTTCTCCCCAAACCAGTTTGCTCTGGGAGAGCTGCTGCTTCCCTTTTTTTTTTTTTTTTCCAGTCGTAATATTTGATGTCATTCCCTGCTCCAGAATTGCAGATCAGCCAGCAGAAGTACTTGTCTCCCTTGTGGCTAGGGGGCTCAATTTATGTGGAGATGAATAAGATTTATGGTGTGTAATAAACATTAGTAAAACGTGACAAAAGAGTGAAGATTTAAAGACACTTACTAATTTAAGATGACATTTTAAACATTCTCAGCCTTTCAAGCAATACATACTTCAGGTCTTTATACAGGTTTCCAGGCAGAATGCCTATTAGGAAATGAAAATCATCTGTGTACTTCTTCTCCCTCTTTGCGCAGTCCCCCACTTCATTTATCGCTCCCCAGTAGCGATCCTATCCATCAGTCTTTAGCGGTGCCTTTATGCTCAGCACCTAGATGTTAAACAAATTAGAATCTTAATATATGAAGTGTGACTATGAGGTCTAAAAGGGAATAGGGAAGAAAAATATTTGAAAGAAAAAAAAAAGGACTGGCCATGACTTAAGTCCTGGATGCCCTGTTAGATGTCCAAGTTTTAAAGGACTGAAATTGACAGAGTGCCAGTCTTTTGGAAAATGCTGCCAGGGCCCTTTTCCCTCTTACATGGGAAATTATACAAGTAAATCTACCTAGAAAACATGTCATGGATTTGGAAAGTTGGGGCTTGGCCAATTTTCACACATCTGGTTTGTCGGGCAGTCTCTGCTCATCAGCTAATAAGGACTTACGTGAACCCAGCTTATAGTCCAGGGCCAGCCTCTCCATCCACATTTGATCTCACCTGGACGCCGGCCCTCTGCTCTGGCCTGGCCCTCTCCATTCAGGGCCTCTTTTATTTCCAACACAAAATGGTCTCGTGTTGTTAAATGGTCTCTAATTTTTCTAATAGTCGACAGTAGAGTTTCTTGCTGGTTTTCAGTAACACGCTTTATTTTGCCTCCCTAATTTGCTCTCAGTTGAATCTGATTACATTTACTTGGGCAAAAGGGAGGGGCCATGGCTACCCAGAAAGCCATGGACTTGCAGTCGTCCTAATGATCTCATGGGGTGTTGTGTGTAATGCAAACCCCAGGTCCCCTCCACTCTGTGCAGATGCCAGTCTTGGTGACTGACACGTACTTAAGCACTCAGGGCTGTTTTCCAGTGTGTGATTTACTCTCCCCCTTTAATTACCCTGGAGATGGTGAGCCAAGAACATTAGAGGCTTGGTTTTTAGGGCAAAGAGTATTCCCTGGAGCAGGTCACAAGCAGCACCTTGGCTAATTCAGGGAGGAACTCCATACAGGTTCCAGGATGGCCCATCTCTGCATTTCTAGTAATTTCGAAAATAGAGACCTAGGAGAGGAGTTGCGGTAGTGAATTACGGTCAGCTACAGAAGAGAATTTAACTTACTCCAAGGTAGCCCATAATGTTCAACAGCCCATATTACAGGCAGCTATTTTCCTCTCTTCTCCAACAGCGGCATCCAGGACCCCACACATGGAGGGGCACAGGTGGTTCCCCCTCTTGCATTTGCTCCAGGGGCTGCCCAGGTCCCCCTCACACCTTTGCGGATAAATGAAAGTCTTGATGCCATCACTAGGTTCCTGTCATCAGCGCAGGCACTGTTGAAACTTGGGGACACAAGAAATAGTGTTTGCAATGATGATTTATTATAGCTGGGGGCTTTCGCACACCCAAACACTTGCATCTTTTATATTAAGTGAGTTTTTTTTTTCACCTTTATAGATGCTACCTCTTACCAATGACCCTCATGTGGATCCATGCCTGGAATGATTTTTCCACCAGTGGGCCACGAGTTGTAGTTTGCCAGGCCTGCCTTCTTTTCGGAGCAGAAAGAGCCTTCCAACTTCATCATGGTCCCGCTCTCACATGTGAGCTAACCATGCCCGGAGAAGGCCTTTTCCTTGAAAATTGTAATTTCCATATATTAGAGATAGTTCTGTGCTATGATCTAGTACAATCTGGTATGTATGGGTTGCAAACAAAGCAACTGTTTTCCTTGAAGAAAACTTCAGCAGTTATAGGTGCTAGGGCTCGCCTCCCCTGTTGCCAAGCTCTCCAAACGGTCCTCATCCCTTGACACCCTCATCGGTACCTGGAGGCAGTGTGGCACGGTGGTTTTCAGCATCAGAAGGCAGGTTGTACGACCTTAAGAGAATCACTTAATATCTCTGGATCCATAAAATGGTGAGAGCATTAGGTCAGACAGTCTCCCAAGTTATTTTTGGTACTAAAAATCGGTGATTCAACACTAACAATGGTTGGCAGGCAACTCCGTACACGCTGTTCAGCGAACAGTATCTGTTTATCTCGGTGTTTGGGAAATTTCCCTCTGTTTTTCAAACCCTGCCCATCTTTACTCAATGACTCTTCGTTATGCATTTCTGACTGCTTTTTTCTTCCATTCATTCATGAGGTTGACTGGCTTCTTTTGCTTTTCTCTCAAAGCAAATGAAGCTATTCAAGCTTGTCCTTAAGCGGAGGTGCAAAAACTAGATCCTCAAAGCAAACATAATAAGGGCTATTGAGACGGAATTGTGAAAATCAACACTCAGATTAATAGACGCAATTTAACTAAACAAGCAGGGCTATTATGGAAATTCCCCAGAAACCAGGGTCTCTAAAGCTCAGGCAGAACCAGACTATGGACTGATGGGTTGGGCCCCTGGCCCCACGTCTAACTGCTGCCTGAAATGGTGACCTCCTCCGTGTATTTAGGAGTAAAATGCTATCATGTTAAACAGGCAAACAAAAACACCAAAGTGGAGGGCAGAGAGGAATGAAATAGGAATGGTAGCATGTTGATAATTATTGAAACAAGGTAAGGAGGAGGAACACATGGGGTCATTATTCTCTTTTTTTACTTTTCTGTATATTAAAATTTTTCCAATATAAAAAGTTAAAGAAATGTCAGCCCTGTAGCTGGTCTTACTCTGGAACTAAGAGGTTGCAGAAAGAAGGGTAGAAGGCTCTAGAAATCCATCTGGCTGAAGTCCCTGAAGGCACCCACGAGGGAGGATGCTGAGTATCCATCATTCAGCCATTAACACCTTTGAGAGTTCCATAACAGTCCCATAATGATTTTACTAACATCCCTGCTCCTCCTCAGAGAAATGCAATCATTGTCACAGCATACCCAAAGGTGGACCATAACCTTGATGAAATTAATTAGACAAAGCCCAGGAAATTCTTTTCTTCTGCTTCATATACGTTTGTTTGACCTCACCTTCTCCCACCAGGCAATAGTTTGTGGTATATTTATACAATGGAATGCTACTCAGCCATAAAGAAGGAATAAAATGATGCCATTTGCAGCAACATGGATGGACCTGGAGACTGTCATTCTAAGTGAAGGAAGCCAGAAAGAGAAGGAAAAATACCATATGATATCACTTACATGTGGAATCTAAAAAAAAAACAACAACAAAATTACTTACAAAACTGACTCATAGCATAGAAAACAAACTGATGGTTATCAGAGGGGGAAGGAGGTGGGAAGGGATAAATTGGGAGTTTGAGATTTGCAGATGAAAAATAAATTAAATAAAATAAAAAAGTGGAGGGCTGAGCGCACAGCTGTAACTTGTGGATTGACCTTGGACATACCCTGACAACCACAGCCCAAAGCCGCCACTCGCCCCAGGCCGCATCCCTCTGCTCTGGAGGTGGGCTGTTCCCCTTTCAGGCCCACACTCTTGATTCTGGAATCCTGACCCAGGCTGGCAGCTCCGAGCCACTTGGAGAGAGAAGCACAGGGTTGTGAATGACCTTGTCCCACCTTTACAACCACCTGGCCAGACCTTCAAGGCCCCACCTCTGAGCCCCAGGAAGTCCTGTGGACCCAGAAGGAAGCCCTGGCCTAGTCCCAGCCCCTTCTCAGCAGTCAGGAACAGCTCCCTGGGAGCAGGCAGTTGACGGCTGTCTCAATTCCTTCCTCTTTAATACTTTGTCACTCATATGTGTCTACAGGCATGTGTTTATCTATGAATAGAAGGTACATGCATTTATTCACTCATTGGTATATCAGATATCTATTAAGCACATTCTACATGACAGACCTGGACAAGCTCAGGGAGGACAATAGAGTATGAGATGCTTCTTTACCTTTAAGGTCTTTCCAGGCCAGGAATTCTGTTTATTTGTCTCAGCGCCCAGGGTGGTAGCTGACCCTTAGCGGTTATGCAGCGTGTCCCTGTTACTGTTAGTGAAAGTGGCCAGGGCCGCCCATGTGGAGCAACGGCCCCAGGACAAATCACACGTTACAAGAGTGCTTCGCTGCCCCCTTCGCTTCTTTCAGGAGGTAACTCTGATTAAATGAACAACAGGAAAACCTTGGGAAAGAAACAAAAGGAAATGTCCCAAAAGGGCAACTTGCAGCTGGAGGTGCAGGTGAAGGAAGCAGGGGGTGAGGTGGGGCGCGGAGAAGATGTCACTGGTGGGCTGGCGGGGAAAGTCCTCAGCGTGGGAACCTGTAAAGCCTCTGAACAGGTTTTCAAGTAGAACCTCCCCCTGTCCTTTTCCCATTCCCCTCGCCCCAAAGTAGTTCTAGCTGCCTGATTAAAAACATCACAGGGCACCGGCCAGGCACTAGGCCGGCACTGAGCAGCCCTGTACTCGCATATTGTACGCTAAGTACAACCCTGAGTAAGGACCCATGAGCCAGGAGAGGCCAGGAGGCTCTTCCCCTCTCTGCAGTGTCTTTATTCTCCAGTTCTCCAAGCAGAAAGCCAGAGCTGAGGATTAAAACACTATGACTGCGTCCTACACCTCCTACTGGAGAAAACTAGAGACAGAGGACAGAACGGCTGGAGGAGAGGAAACCCCCGGGACAAGGACGAAAGAGTGCCCTTGAGTAGCTGAGCGTCCTCGAGTTCTCTGCTAAATTTACTCTCTTGTACCATGGTTCCCCACGCCGCCCCGCAGGAGAGTCACGAGAACCAAGGAAATAATAGATGTGAAAAGCATTTCAACAGTTCCTGCCTTAACCTTTCATCTGTAAAACGGGCACAGTCATAGCACCTACCTTATAGGGTTATTGCAAAGATGAGAGTTAATGTATATATATAAAGTGTTCAGAATAGTGGCAAAGACAGAGTAAGCATTTATGTAAATGTTCACTATATTAAAAGTCAGATCTGGGCAGGACATAGATGGTACAAAAAGTTTAACTAAGAGTTACTCAATGTCGATACCATTTACAGAGGTGGTGGTGGGTTTCAGGAGTCAACGCGGGATGGGGAAATGAGCAAGGATGGAGCTGTCGAGGAGACGAGGCAGGGATCAGAGGACTGAGCGCACCGTTCTCTCCTCCCCTCTCTGATCTCCTGCCTATGTCTCCATCACCCAGACCAACCACAAGCAGAGGGCAGGTCCAGGTGATGCTGTCCGTGGGGCCAGCCTCGGGGGGCACAGAGCATGGATCTGATGGAGACAAAGCAAGAATAACCAGCATGGCTGTTCTTAGTAGTGATCTTGGCACTAGCATTAACCAGTGCAAACTCGTGTTATTGTTATTAACACTGGGCATCTCTAATAACGGGACTTGCTGCTTTTGTTATAGATTTGAGTTTTACTCTTAAATGGCTTTCTGTTTGAAGGATGTGTCGACGTCACTGTTTCATTTGGGCAGCTCTGTTGTCCAAGTTAAAGAGCAACCAGAGCCCAGAGCAACTGGGGTCTCGTCCTGAGCTGGAATCTCAAGTACTCGCCCGCCTGCAGCCCACCTCCCGTCCTGAGAAGCCTCAACTTCCTTTCATACAAAAGGGAGAGACGAGTTCTAACTCTTACAGCGCAGTTGTGAAAAAGAATACCCTGCCAGATCAGTACCAATACGAGGAACTGGCAGATATAAAATTCTAAAATATTTCTTAATATTATGCACGAGTTCTGACTTAACAAGCCTGGCATATTGTGGCTACCCTGTTAAAAAAAAATCCGCTGATCATTTTTCACAACTTATTTATTCTTGGTGCCTATTTCCCTTCCAAGGAAGGAAGGGGATAAAAGAACTTTAACATCTTTTTTCTTTATAGAGTGCTTTTTACATTATTCCTGAAATGCACTTCCACACAGAGAATATATTTCGGGGGTCTGCCTTCTGATTCTTTTTGTTTTAATCTAAATTATTTTCTATAGACTTTTTAAGCACTTTGTTCACCTACATGTGTATATTTCTGCTCTAATTGAAATTCCTAAATAGTCACTTTCTGAACTGTCAAAATTGTAAGGCTGTTGATGGGCGCAGCACTGGGGTTTCCATGGCAACTACTTTCATTGCCTAGGCGACGCTGGTCTGGTGATATCACCGCTGAACTGGCTCAACTCTTGAAAATTTGGCGGCTCCCAAAAATGTGCAAGTATGTCCTGAAACTTTAACGGGCTTTTATTTTTAATGGCTGGCACCAAGCTTGGATCTGCCAGGACTCAGGAAGCAGCAGCTCTGTTCTGAGCTTCATTGTGCAGCGGATGGGAGATTTGACAAGCATGCTCATACCACCAGATCCTATCTGGATGGTGATGTTTTATGCGACTAGCTTGCAAATAACATTACCATCAGTCATGGCGGCTGAGATGCAAGTAGAGTTAGGTGACAGAATCTTAGTTCGCTCATGAGATAATAAGATGCTTCTAAATATGTCACAGTTGGAGTTTAGATGGTCTCACAACCCTGTTTTTCTCTTCTCCTGCTTTCTCTTTTTGTTTATTCTTTCTCTCTTTCCCTCCTTCTTTCCTTCTTTCTCTTTTTTCTCTCGTCTGAAGAGACGAGGAACACTGAAAGCTGGAAATATCATGATTTGTTCATTTTGGATGTCTGTTCATTTAGGATGTAGTGTGTCATTCCTAAACTACCTCCTGTTAAACTGTTTGTGGGAAAGTTCCATTCAAAATAAATCATTTCTTTATAAGCAGTTTTATTGGTGCGTGGTCAAAAATTACCCAGGGAGAAGGAGATCATTTAGCTTGCCTTTTTTTTTTTCCCTGTCTATGGAACTCAAGTTTCTTCTAATTACATCCGGAGGATCATTTAAACAGGGTGGTCCATTTTAAAGCAGCCACATTTAAATCTACTTTGCATTAAATGAGCCCGCTTTTAGATGAGTTTGGCTGGCTCAAGAATACATCACAAAATGCAAATCTGATGATAAATAAAGCTTTGGCTACATCAAGGAAACGGGGAGCATTTCAAAAAATGATGTTAGCACTGACTGCTAAGTGAAATGGCATTCCTTGAACACTCCGCATATTTTAAACATTCAAATGTATGCCGCAGAATCAAATATGTCCATTTGATATGTGGCAATTCGTAAGTAACACAAAATAAGAAGATGAGGTGCGAGCTTTCCCTCACAAGTGAACACTAGTGAAAAGACAAGGGTGGGAAAGGGCTGTTGGAAGTCAAGAGAATGAGGAAATGGCTCTGCATACTCACTGGAGGAGTCATTTCAAAGTAACCCGCAGGCAGGATGCGGGGCGCCCTGTGCCAGTTACTCCGTATCTCCTTGGGACCTGCTGCTGCTGAGTTGTTGCCGCGCTCGGTTTGGCTCTCAGGAGAAGAGGGAGGTCCTGAAAAGGGGAGACTATAAGGTAGGACTCAAAATAATTTAATGGGCTTTTAAAACAAAATAGTTCAGACTGTACATACCAAAAAAAAGATTATTCCCTTTGAAGTATTT